GGTCCCAACCAGGCTCTTCCCTGCCTGGATGGTGCCCAGGTGTCTGTGCCCACCCTCCCCCAGGTCCCTCTGTGGTTTTGGGGGAGCTCCTGGAGGTCCTGGTTAATCTCAGTGTAGACAAAGGAACATTTTTAACACGATGGAAATTTCTGTGGGATGGAAAGAACATTTCAGGGCCTCATTTCCCCCCCCCCTTTTTTTATTTGAGAGGCCTGGGGAGGTATTTGGAGGATTTTTCCTGTCCTTTGATGAAACCCTGCCTCAATCCCTGCCCTCACACAGCCACACACGTGCAATGAATCAAAGTTTCACCCTCCCAGAAGGCAAAGTTTTCTTATGCCTGCTGTCTCCCAGGGAGATATATATTTTTTTAAGCCACAAACACCTGAAATATCCACAATGGGAAAAGCTACTCGTGTCCCTTTAGCTGATCATGGAACCCCCAAGTGGGTGGGAGAGAACAGGACCCAGGGAGAGCAGGGGGCTGGAATCTGGTGTGACTTCAAGGAGACTGTGTTCCCAGGAAAAAAAAAAAGAGAGATTTCAGAGCCTGGGAATGCTGGATGAGTACTTGACACTGCAATTTCCTGTCAGTGAAACTCCGGAGAGGAACCCAAAGCCGGGTGGTTTTGCTCCCGAAAAATCCCCCGTCCCAGGGCGCTCCCTCCCCTCCCCCCCAGCCCCAAATACAGCCGGAAATCGGGAGCCTGGAATATTCCGGGAGGAATTTCTTCAGGCGTTAAGTCATGTTCTCAATAACCTCCCCCCCTCCCGGGGCTGCGCTTGCTGCCAACATCTGCAGCGAGCAGAGGAGGAATGCGCGGAATGGGAGCTCAGCTGAGTGTGAAGGCAGGAACAACCCCTGTCTCTGACTCCGGGGGCTCCTCTCCCCTTACAAACCCTCCAGCAACGCGGAGCGGGCCCTCCTCCCGCCCCACACCCGCCAGCTCCCGCCTGGAAGGTGCAGGGACCCGTTCCAGAGGCTGCGGGGTTGGAAAGGGGCCGAGGTGGGTTTTGCAGAGGGACAAACGGCCTGGGGCAGGGAGAGGTGCTGCTCTGGGGCTGGGGATGCAGCGAGGTCCGGCTTTTATCCACCCACCCCCCCAGCAGCAGGTAAAGTTTGGCAGCAGAAGGAAGAGCAGCGTTCTCTCAGTCCTCTCAGGGATCCCAGTCCCAGCCCCTCTGGTGCTGCCGAGGTTCCCCCCCGGGCCCCACTCGGTGTTTAACCGGGAGAGCTGATCCAGGGGGATGCTGGAAAAGGAGGCTGCAAGGGAGGGTGTCTTATTCCAAACCGGGAAACTTGGGGAAGTAAAACAGAACCCCAGGACAGGCTGAGTGGGAAGGGACCCACCAGGATCATCCAAGTCCTGCTCCCGACCCTGCAGGTCCCAAATATCAGTGGGAGGGGTTTGAGCTTCGATCCTTCGGGAGGGAGAGGGGACGTGGCTGCTGGTGTTGAGTGCTGGAATGCATCCCCTGCATCCCCGGGGACGGGGGGCACGTGGCTCCCTGGGGCAAATCCAGCCTCTGTGGAGAGATCCACGAGCCCTGGGAATGGTGAGAGATTGGAAAACCGGGATGAGACACCTCCGTGTCCCCCAGCACGAGAGGCAGCCCCTGAGGGGAGGGGAGGGGTCTCTGATCCAGTGAGGGGTGGTCCCAACCAGGCTCTTCCCTGCCCGGGTGGTGCCTTTGGGAGGGAGAGCCGTTGTTTGACGGGAATGTTGCAAAAACCAACGCCAGACACTCTCCGGGCTCTTGTGCAGCCCCTACCAATTAATAATGCCATCAATAATTCCCGGCGGGGCAGCCGCATCCAGCTGGCACGCCCGGAGGATCCGCTGCTCGTGCCGGCAGCGCTGGCATTTCATCCCTCCGCTGATCCCTGGGCTGCCCGGGAATCAAAGAGCTCCCTTTTCCCCGTGTGGCTGCACTCGCACAATGCCGGCCCTTGTGCCGGGCTGGAATTCACGGCCCCTTCCTTGTCCCCGGCCCAGGGGCTGGCGGGGGGACGCGGCTCACAACGGGCCCGGGCTCTGCTCCATCCCGCTGCCTTCCATCTGCCGGCATTATTTCTGGGGAGCGATTCCCGAGGATGAGGGGAGGCAGAGCCAAGGACCCGCAGGATTGAGCCCCGGCGGCTTCTTGGCTGCGTTTTCCCGTCGCTGTTCTCGCTCCGGGTCTGTTTTCTCCTCGCGTTTCGGGCTCGTGGGGATCAGTCCGGACACGTTCGGTTCCTCTGAGCAGAAACGAGAGGCCGGAGTTTTTCTTTTCCCTCAGAAATCACGCGGAGCTGCAGCGCGTTGCCAAAAAAATCACCTTCGGAGAGCGAGGGGAAAGGGGCGTTCCCAGGGTTTTCCGGCAGGGAAGGTTTCACCTCTGCCACCTGCCGGCACCTGCGAGGATCCCGCCTGGAATTGTGCACTCAGCAAACGCGGGAGAATTCCTAACAAACAAACAAAACTTCCAAGCGGATCGTTCCGGCTCGTTCCCGGCGGAATCAGGTGGGGGCAGCTGAGATAAATCGCTCCCTCTTCAGCTGTTCTGACGCTTCCAGAGCCGAACGTGGCTCCCTTTCCAGCCAAACCCCGGTCCCGAAGGAAGACTGAAACCTTCGGGAAGGGATTATCGGGGCGGAGAAAGCGGCTCTTTAGCGACCTGAAGGAAACAGCCCCGTCGGAAACAGCCCCCGGACAGTAAGTGCTTTTTATTCCCATCACGTGCTTTTGTTTTGAAGGCAACAGAGCAGAAAATCCAACCCCTTTCTCAAGCAGGAAACGTTTATACATTTAATGAACCAGTGACTTAATTTAATGTGCATTTAACGGGTGTCTTCAACTTGGCAAAGTCCTGTGGAGGCCAAAACACTACAACAGTTGTTACCTGGGGCAAGGGGGAGGGATTTGGGAGTTCCTTCTGCTTTATGAAAACCCGGAGGTTGAGGGGGGGAAAAAAATGCCTTGCTTGGTCAAAGCACTTGAACTGCTTTCAGGAATCATGTCTGGCTGTGGCTGAGCATCCAAAGTCAGGAATGTTTCTGCCACAGAACCTCTGAGTCAGTGAGAGAGGCCCTGGCAAGCTGGAGAAATGTAGCTGTGCTCCTCTGACCCCATCCATCTCTTTCTCCTCGGGTTCCCGAGAGAAAACACATTTTAAAGAGCAACATGTTTTGGGTTCTGAACTAAGATAACATTCCTCAGTTGGTGTCTGAGAATGGAAACCATGTCATTTTTATTGTGTGTGCAAACATGCACAGTGGGAAAAGAATGAGGTTCGTGTTCCCAAGGGAGAGGCCTCAGGCTGCTTCCCTGGAGAAGCAGAGCTCAAGGAACCCCACGGTGGAGTCCCCAAAAGCTCCTGGAGCTCCTTCAGCTGGACTGACATGGATGGTCCCAACTTCTGCCACTCCAGCTGGAATGGGAATGGAAGAAATAACTGGGCACTTCTTTGCAAATGTTCAAAACCAAACCCAGGAGCCAGAGCCTGCAGAGCTCAGGTGGTGTTGGGGCTGCTCCTCATGGCCAGGAAGAGGATTTCCTTGTGGAAGTTTGCCTGGGCGTTCACCAGGTGGAACAAATTCAGGAAGGTGTTGTCCTCCTCATCATGCCCCCCTGGCAGGGGAAAGGAAACCATGGAACATGGTCAGTGGAACCAAACCAGTCAGTTAATCCCTCAGGGTGGATGTCCCTCAGCAGAGCCAGGCAGCAGCTTCACCTCAGCTCTGTGCTGTGATTCATGATCCTGATGCCAGGACAGCTGGGAAGGGACACAGGAGACTCTCTCCAAAATTCCTTCCCCAGCCTGCCCAAAGGCAACAAGAACAACTGTGTGTTGGGACAAAAACCTGTCAGAGCTGAGCAGGAGGTTTGGGCACAGCCCAAAGGGACCTCAGGCCCAGGATGGGGTTTAAAACACTGTTGGTGGCACCACCCCTGGCACCAGGAATCCCTCAGCAGGAGAAACCTGTTAAAATGAAGGTTTCTGCCCAATTATGGCACTCGATTGATTATTTGTGTTGCCCAGAGAAGCTGTGGCTGCCCCAGCCCTGGAAGTGTTCCAGGCCAGCTTGGAGCAACCTGGGCTAGTGGGAGGTGTCCCTTCCCATGGCAGGGAGTGGCACTGGAGGAGCTTTAAGGCCCTTCCAACCCAAACCGGTTGGGGATTCAATGCTTCTGTGGTTTTATGTCACCAAAACCCTTCAGGCTCTCCAGGATTGCTCTGCCTGGTGAGGGAGGGAAGGGCAGAGAGTTCCTCCATGCCATGGTCAGCCCCAGCTCCTGATCCAAGAGCTGCTCCAGGCCCAGAGGGCGAGTCTTACCAGCCAGCACTGCCTGCAGCATGTCCATGAGCATGTGGGCAAAGGTGTTCTCCAGGCACTGCAGGAAGTTGTTTCTCTCCCAGGGAGTGCTGAAAACCCTGCAGACCTTCTGCATCATTTTCACCACCCAGTCCATGCAGTAAAGGTCCTTCTCACACACCTGAGGGACACGGGAAAGATCAAATCTGAGCATTAAATGTTGATTCTGCAGCGGTTGTGCTGCAGCCTGGAAAATTGGGGGGGGTGTCAGGAGGGCACAGAGGTTGTTCTTGTGGGCAGGAAGGGACCCCTCAGCCTTTTGCTGGTGGTATTTCCCCTCAAGGACGGGCTTGCCAGCTTCCAGGGATGTGCTGGACAAGGATCAGAAGGTGGGAGAGCACCCAGATTTTTGCTGGGCTTTCTCCTGCTGTGTGGGAGCAGAGGGGGAAAGTCTGAGACAGCAGATTTGGGGGGTAGAGAGGCTCTGCTCAGCTGTACTCACCAAAGCCATGAAGACCACGAGCCTGGCCAGCTCCACAGCCCTGCCATTCACAGCCTTGCTGGCCATGAAGGTGAAGCAGATGTTGTTCCCACTGAGGAGGAGGAGCCGAGCGTTGTTCTCCATGAGCCATTCCTGGGGAACAACTTGGTGGTGGAAGAGAGAGAGAGAGGGGAGATTTCAGTCATCTTTGACTCAAAAGAGGAGCAGCAAAACCCCACAGGCAGTTCCTACCAGCTCCTCACTCTAACTGGTGATAAACTCTCCCCCAGCTGTCAGTGGAGCTGTTAATTGTGGCTTGGACAAACCCTGGGTTTTCAGCTTGGACAATTTTTCCCGAATGATTCGAGGCAAGGCTGGAGTTTTAAAGGTCTGTAGGGATTCTTAAATGATTTCCCCACAGGGAACAGGCAGCCTGAGTGTGACCCTGGGGTTCCCTCATCCCACCTCCTGCCTGCATTCCCGGGGTGAGGGCTTTTCCAGCCAGGCCAGAGCTACCACTGGGAGGAATTTTGCAGCCTGTTTGCACCCAGGTGTCTGAAACACCCCCGAGCTGGGTTTGGAGGACACATAATCCTGAGGAGTAATGACAGAGGCAAAACCCACACCTGACAGCTCGTCCACGAGGCTGATAACATCATCTGCTGTCCATTCCCTGGCTTCTGTGTCATACAGCAGCTTAATTGCTTCAGCTAAACCCTTCAGACTGCTCTCATCTGTTGGTCCTTCTATCATTTTCTGCCACACCACGTGTCCTGAGGGAGACATTAACCACAACTGCCCCTAAGTGATGTTTTTTTTTCCAACAAAGGGAGTTGCTGGACTGAGCAGGGGAATCCAGGCAACACAGCTCAGGCTCTGTGACAGCCACGTTGTTGTCCCTCTGTCACTTTTGAGCAGATGTAAAGGGACCCAGGGTTAACAATTAAGGGAGGGAACACGTTTTCCCTCAGGGAAAGGGATGATGGTTTGAGGTGGGTTTGGGCTGCCTCTGCCCCAAGCAGGGGAGAAGAGGGGGACAAAGGTGTCATTTAATTCCTTCACTTGAATTTTAACTCAGAAATATATGTATGTGTGTGTGTGTGTGTGTATATATATATATATAAAATGAATATATTTTATGTATGACAGTGCTGTCTGGTTGAGCAGAACCTTTTTGCTAGGCAACACAATTGTTTCAATGGCTTCCCACTGCCAGAGGGCAGGGTTAGATGGGATATTGGGAAGAAACTCCTTCCCTGTGAGGGTGGGGAGGCCCTGGCACAGGTTGCCCAGAGAAGCTGTGGCTGCCCCTGGATCCCTGGAAGTGTCCAAGGCCAGGTTGGAGCAACCTGGGCTAATGGAAGGTGTCCCTGCCCATGGCAGGGGGTGGGACTGGATGAGCTTTGAGGCCCCTTCCAACACAAACTATTCTTTGATTCTAATACACTTACATTTTATTCGCATAAAAATTTGGGTTTCTGCTGCATCCTGCAAGGGAATCTCCTTGTCAGGGCCCCAAACTCTGAACACTGAGCCCCCCAGCTCCTCACCATCCAGAGAGGACACGGGCCCAAAGATGATGTAGAGCAGCCTGGCCTGGTTCACGATGGGCCAGGGCTTCAAAATGCGGGTGAGCCAAAAGGCAGAGTCGCTCCTGTGGATCCAGTGGTTGAGCAGGACCCTCCTGCAGTACAGCCTGATCCTCAGCTCCAGCTTCCTGGCACTGCCTGGGGCAGAAGGGGAGGAGATGTGGCAAATCTGTGAAGCCTTGATCAATGCAAATGGTCACTTGTTTATAGGAAATCAAAGAGGGCAATAAATAGGGGCAGCAGGAGGAAGCTTGGCATGGCTGTGGTGGGTGAAGTGTTCCACAGAAACTCCCTGTTCCGTGCTGGGCAACGGGAGGGTTTCTGGAGAGGCCTGTGCCACCTCAGTGCTGGGGTTCAGGAATATCAAACCTCACTTTTTACTGCAGCATTTTATCCCCAGACTTGTTCCTTTCCCACTGGTGGACAGCAGGAAAGATTCAAATCCCTGCTTTTGCTGTCGATGTACAGACACACAACCTGTGCTTTGGACTGGTGATGGGATGATTCAGGAAACCCCAAAGGCCTCTCAAGACAACTCTCCTCACTGCAGGAGCACTTAAGCTTTGGTTTTGGTGAAGAAAAACTAGCTGTGCTCGTTGATGTGAAGGCCAAGAACCCACTTCAGGATGCCCAGAGAGCCAACAGAACGTACATGGGGGTCAGGAACCGACTGGTGCCACAAGGCTGAGCTGAGCTAAACCCCTCTCAGTTCCAGGAATCAAGACCCATTTCCTGCTTTCCCTGTGCTGGCCCATTTTGGTCCTTCAGGCCTCTTGGCTGCTCTGATTTACCTGCTCTGCTGCTGACAACTGTCTGCACTTTCCTGGCCAAACTGCTCAGCTCCCAGAGGAAGTTAAAGACCCGGTGGCACTCGAGTTCATCCCAGCCTGCTGTCAGGATCTGGAGGGGACAGAAGGAATGGGGTGAAAAGGAGTGGACTGAGCAGAGATTTAGCTCCCAGTGCCAGTCCTCAGAGCAGAGAAACACAATCTGTGCTGCAGCTCCCCCTCCTCAGGTGCTGCACAGGTTGTGCTTCAGCCCAGTGACTCCTGGAATCAAAAGCTGCTCGTGGTATTCCAAGATTTTTGAACCTTATGTGGGAATTTGCTTCAAAGACAAATGACCCCACACAAATAATCATCTGTTCTTCTTCAAATTTTAAATTTTAATATATATATTTTTTTAAAAATTCATTTTAAGCTACCACAGGTGAACAGAACTATTCTGGCCTGTGGTGTGTTGAGCCATTTCCTTCAAAACTGAAGCATCTCTGCTCCTGGATTGGGAATTTGAAGCTGTGCAATGAAATGCTGCCCTTCTCCCATGTCTCCTT